AGTGGGGAGGCAGCAAGAATCAGCAGCTGGGAGGTGCCGTGAGTTCACAGTGCAAGCATCGCTTGACTGATTATTTTGCGACCACTTGGGCAAGTCCACCGTAACCAGCACATTAAGCAAAACTCTGGAGGAAGGGGAAAACAAACACGCCAGCCCCGATAGAAGTGGACTTCAGCCACGGCCATCAAGCAGCACATCTCACAGCCAGGTCCCTCCAGGATTCAGTGCAAGCTCTGTTCTATAATTCATTTACATCTCACTTGCAAATCACCTATTTAAATTTTCTAAACCAACAAATAACCACACCGTGTACTTGTCCTGAACATGAGCAAAGCAAAATAGCATCTTTACCAAATGTTTGACCCTCACCAGAGCACTTACAGTCATCTGCATCTCCCAGACCTGGGACGATTTCCAGAAGCTGATGTACTTGCGGTAAGCGTGGAAACAGTCGCCCTGAAAACCTGGGTAACCGCTACACTGCAATGCTACAAGTTCGCGGCCCTTTCCCAAGCAGCACTCAGGCAGAACCGGAGCTGTCTACAGAAACTCTTCCTGTCTGTCAACAGCGACACAGAAAACACTCGCTTAGAGACCCACTTCAAGCGCAGTTCCACTGCCAGCACATGCTTCCAACCCAACCGATGCAGCAACCGACCTTAGGCCAGAGACAGAAACATTATGCCAACATTATTGCTCTTTTCCCAGCTACACTCAAATCTCCACACAGGCAAGAGAGCACACCAAGCTGTGTGTGGGGAATGGGGGTGCTACAGACATGCACTCTTCAGGGAGGGTGAAGCTGTCTTCTGAAAAGGAGTGCACATACAAGAAAAAGGGCATGCAATTAAAAAAAACAGGAGCAGCTACTTCATGCAGAAACACGTCTTTACGGGCAAAACGAGCTGAACTCTGGATACCAACAAATTTACCTCTACAGAGACAAACTATAACTAATAAAAAGCACCGATCAATTTGTGTGTAAGTTTTGAAAATGCTTGACATAGACCTAATGAGAAGTAAAAGCCATCTTGGAAGCACCTCTTTATCAGTGCAAAATCTTGGATCTTTGGGGTTTGGAAAAAAAAAAACCAAAACAATTAAGTCACATGAAGGGTCAGCACAGGTTTTTTCAACTCATCAGACAATAAAGAAATTTTAATCTCTACATAGCTAAGAAAGTAGAACAATAAATAAAGTGATAAACATGCCTGGTTATTGGAAAAGCAAACAGCAGCCCCTTTCTGCACTCAGGAGCCTGGCATTGACGGCGCTATCTTGCCTGTAACATTTACAAATGTCAAGCGTTCATGCTGAAAAGCTGAAGACAAAAGAAATTCAGTTCTTTTGCAACTGCTTTGGAGAGCTGCGTGGAGAACTCTCGCTTCTGGAGGGCCATTACAGACACACTGGCAAACTGCAAAGAGGAAACTCCCAGCAGCCCAAGAGAGGATGCTGCATCCCATCATCTTTATTCCCAAACGGATTTCACAAGTGCTTTACCTGGGCTTCTCCTCCTGCTCAAATACCACAAGCATAGTTAAGACAACGAAGTGCCCTATCACAAAAGCTGACATACCCATTAACTGCCTGAAATAATGCCAAGAGGATATTAAACAGAATCTTACATGACAAGTTACGGTCATAGAGTAGACCCAATTAAATATAGGTCTCAGACCCCGCAGGGACCAGCCTCAGCCCTGGAGCAGCAGGAGCTGCTTCCTGCCAAGGTGGTGGCCAGAGAGGTGCCCTTGGGCAGAGGACTCCAGTCGCTGCAGAGCATGTCCCCTGGAGCTAGCTCCAGGCCCTCTGCTTTATCTGGGAGGGAGGAGCTGGACCTCCAGGTACAGCCCTGATAGCTCAGTCAGCCCTTTGGGTCCGGCTTGCTCCCCGATGAAAAGACTTACCGGATTCTAGACCACAGCTCTGCTGTCTAGGGGATAAAAAAATTCCCACGCATGGGGCTGAGGTGGCTTCAGACCGTTCAACTGGAAACGCAGCAGATGAGCTGATGGCATTGGAGCTACTTGGAGGAAAAAAAAAAAAACAACCCCAAAATACCACTAGCAGCAGCCCAAACAGAGAGGCTGTCATTTCACGGCTGGGAAGGACTCTTTCAGCAAGGAACACGGCAGCTTATCTCATGACGTGCGATGCCAGTCACCACCCGCTCTCCAGCAACAGCGTTTGTAATCAGAGCTGAGCCAGAGCAGCCTGGAGGGCGAGGATCAAACCTGCACTGGCTCGGATCGAGTAGCAAGACATTTTCTGGCTTCAGGCATCCCCAAGCCTTGTTTAGACAAGGTGTGACTGCGCAAGTGATTCAGCTGAATGAAATAAGCATTCACAACACAGGCACCCCTGCAGTGAGCGTACAAGAATTAAAAGGACTCCTCCACCCACCACAGTCTGCTTCTCTCCAAAACCAGATCCAAACAACCCAAATTGTTCCTCCATAGCACAAACTTTAAGGGGAACCCATGAATTACCACGCAAATGCCAAAGAATCTGCCAAAAGCTGAAATAAATGGATAAGACAGCAAAGGTGTCAAGATCGAGACCCTTATGCAAAAGCCCTAACACACAGAGAAGGCATACAGGGCAAGCAGGGCTCTCGAGCAGCCAAGCTGCTCATCTTCTCAGCTTGGTCAGTGAAGCAAAGACATTGTGGAGTGTTTCTGATTGGGAAGGCAACATTTCATCCCTATTGTAAATTTAAAAATCCCCAAACAATTTCAAAACAAACCCACCTCCTTCAAACACAAAGCCATTAAGGTGCTGTGCATTGAAAAAATCAAACGGATATTTTGGATTTTCCCAAACTTTTCCTCATCTCCCTAGTTGAAAGCACTCAGCTGATTTCACTAAAATTCAGAGACAATTCTGCTCTCAGTGAAACTTCCCCTGTGCCAGCAGCCCCCTCAGAGGCCACCCTCCAGCTCTACACAGAAGGCATGTCCTCGATATCCCAGCACAAGAAGGGACACAAACGACCCCTCCACAGGCCTCTGCCTCCCAGAGCATGGGAAGGGACTTCTCAAGGAACTTCCAGTCGCGTACCCACCGTGCCCACATCCAGACTAACCATCACACCGCCCGTGCTGCCAACAAAGATGAGGACTGGGAAGGCGGCCTTGGTTTGTTCTGCCCCACACAACCCAGCAGCCAGCTGGTGAGGGCAAACATGGCAGAGCGGGATGTGGCTTCATTCCTCTACTGAGGACAAGCTCCGCAGGGAGTGAAAGCAATTATTCCTTGCAATAAGGGTTTCTGGAGCAGTAATAAGTGTTTCTGGAGCAGTAATATTTATTAGTTCTTCCTGCAAGGCAGGAAGTCTTAGCCCCATTTTTCAGATGGGAAAAAAAAAACCAAACAACAAAACAAACAGTGGTATCACTTCATACCTTTGAATTCAGACTGAGTCAGGGATAATTTGGGCTTTCCACACCCAGGAACCCCAACACCTCGCGTTACAGTTGTATGGCACCTGCCTCTAAAGCTACACGACGACTAAGCAGAAAAACCAGTCTCATACCTGACTGAGACCCAATGTTGGCCACTTCATCACTGCTGTTGGGATGTGGCAAGACTTGGCAGACTGTTCCAGAAAGCCCTTTCCAAGTCTGCAAGAGATATCCGCTAACAAGAGGAGCTAGGGAAAGCAGTGCCAGGCCAGGGGAAGTTGAGACAAGTTCCTTGGTCTAGGGAAGACATCTAGGAGCCCAGCATCTGGGCCAACTGCTTTATGTATTTGGAGGAATAGCCAGGTTTAACCAACAAGCAGTTTCTTCCACTTGCTTTCCTGGCTGAAAGAGCTTTTGTGTTACCCAACACTGTTTAGGACCTTCACCTCTCTAAGAACAACATAAACATTCTGATGGAGACAGAGGATGAAAAGTTTCATGGTTGTCTAGCTGATCCAAGCTTATCCTTAGACAAAGCCAAGAGGCAGTCCTGCCCCCTCCCCACAACATCAGTGCTTAGGCAAACACAGGTTTTTCCTTTTTTGGGGTGGGTGGTGTTTTTTTTAGGATTATTCTAAGGCCAGATCAGTTCCCCAACCCAGCTCAGAAAGGAGAGGGCAAGTCCTGCTCTTTTGGCAGTATCCAAGACTTGGGCTGCAGCTCTTCAGGCTGCTGAGCTGATCTAAAAGGGTGGCCAGATCCTCTCCAAACACCAGAGCGTCAGCTCGCGGGAGGGTCTGCTGTAACACAGGCCAGATCAGCGCAAAACCCCAGTGCCACCAAGCTCACTCCTTTTCTGTTAATTCTTTGACTGGGTCACCTCCCTAATCAGGCTGACCTGGGGGTTGCAGGGACGCAGCCTCAGCCCCCCCTCCCAGCCCGCGTTGGCCTCAGCTGCTGCAGCAGCAGTGCCCTTGCACCCCGGCTATCCCTGGACAAAGAGTAGATGCCCCAAACCCCCGTCCCCTCTAGCTGTGCTCAGGACAAGGGAACTGCAAGTCCCGAATGCACAGAAGCCCAACCGGTAGGGATGAAGAGGCAGCATCAGGCCGCAGGCAGAGCCAGGGGAAAGCTCCAGCAGGGCCCATCCTCCCCCAAAACCTCCAGGGTCAATCTGCTAAGGGTGAAGAGACAGATCCCGCCAGAGAGCCACACCACACCAGGCTCCTCTCCGCCACACTCCCCCCTCCCTCTCCCAGGGCCAGCAGTCAGAGGACCCCTGCCCAAGCCCTGTCCCTGGGCCGCGGGGTCACCGGGCCACCGCGGGGGACTCACTCAAAGGCGAAGAAGAGGGCGCAGGTGCCGAGGATGAGGAAGAGCGTCAGGTAGAAGATGCCTTTCTGCCGAGCCATCATGATGCGGCCGTCGCAGCAGAAGGTGTTCCTGCCCGGCAGCTTCTCCCATTTCCGAACCACCTTCTTCCTCGCTACCATCACCGACATGG